AAGAAAACATAATAAGGAACCATAAAAAAGCCGGGTCTTTTCGGTTACAGGTAGGGTTTGTAAGGGTTTATAGGGCTTGTATTATAGGATCCTGGCCATAAATTGGTTAACCAATAACAAGAACTACAATGGAGGCTATAGGTAGAGCTCCTTTTAAGGGTTCTCTGGATTTAAGGATTCCCTTCAAGGACTCCATTAAGGGTTCCGTCATGGGTTCCATAAGGGTGTATAGGTTTCATATGGGTAGTTCTCTAAATTAGGGTCCCTTTTTGGAATATAGTACGGCACCCTTATAGTATGGACCCTAAAATAGAGAACTGCCCATATGGTTCAGGGCTTCGTGCAGCACTCTGAGCTGCGTGCTTGGCCACGTGCGGCCTCAGGTCGGGTTGCCATCGCTTATAAGGATTATCGGGTTCAGGAATCCGGGTTGTTTGGAGTTTAGGGTTTAAGGATTATCGGGTTCAGGAATCCGGGTTGTTCGGGGTTATAGACTGATAAGAACGGTTTAGGGTAAGTTTAGGGGTTATAGAATTCAGGAATCCGGGTTGATGAGAACGGTTTAGGTTTAGTGGCTTAGGGTTTAGGGTTGAAGTGGTTCAGGGCTTGCATGACTCAGCGGTCTCGAACTGTAGTCATGGTGAATAGATCTTGTCTTATCTGTTTGGTGCTTAGTAGGGAACGGGGAAATGGGTTATAGGGACTACTATCAGGGACCTTAAGGGACTATCATAGCGATCCATTCCCCCATTCCCTACTAAGCACCAGACAGTTATGGCTGATGTCGATTTCGAGTCTGCAGAGGCTAGGACTTAGGGTTGAGAGCTCAGGAATCAGAAGTTAGGGCTAGGGTTTCGGGTTTCGGGTTTGGGGTTCAGGGTTTTTGGTTTAGGGTTTTGGGTTTGGTGTTTTTTTGGGTTTAGGGTTTGGGATTTAGGGTTTAGGGTCTGGGGTTTAGGGTTTAGGCTTTACGACATGAGAAATGGCAGATTGTCGTACTCTCTCCGTTCAGGGGGATGGACACGGAGTCCTACTTCTTCGTTGAGTATCGGGCAGCCAGCGACTCTTGCTACACACGTAAGAACCCTAAACCCCAAACCCTAAACCTGGAACCATAAACCCTGAACCCTCGGCTGCAACCCCATACTTTCGAAGCAGGCCGCTTCTCCAAGTTTGCAGACTCGCACCTTTGTCAAACCGTCTATGTACTTGAGTGCAGGCATAATAATCGGGACCGCAACGACTAAAGCATGGTTTCTGCGCATTCTCCAGTCTGGGCTTTTGGGGTTGTAGGGCCTATAATCATGGGGATATGAATTCGGAAACCACGTTTGCTGACAGCGAAACATCCTAAACCCTAGAACCCTAAACCCTAAACCTTAAACCCCAAACCGTGGAGCACTTGATCTTCGTCCTGGCTCGCTGGTGACCGGGCTACGGGTTCATGAATGCAGTTGGCCTCTTGACCCTAGACCCTCGGCGGCTAAACCCTCTAAATCCTACCTTAACCCTGAGCCCTAAACCCTCAACCTTAAACCCTAAACCTTAAACCCATGAACCCTGAGCGGTAAACTTCGACCCCAAACCGTAAGTTCCAACACTGAAATCTCAGTAGCGACTCTGCTTTCCGAGGATTGTTTGCTCCATGCGCCAGAGTAGATTTGTGTACATGAGCATTAATAGGGTTTAGGGCCCCATTTAGGGCCAGGGTTTAGGGGTTTCGGGGTTCAGAACTATAGTGAACTCCAGAAAGTTGGAGCATGGATTTAGGATGATTATTGCTGGGATTCCCTCTACTCTACCGTCAGGGCATGAGGAAAATGTTGTTCCAACTTTCTAGCTTCTACTGTACTGAGCTTCAGGGACCACAAACACAACAGAGACTGCGCGCACCAGTGCATCAAAAGTGGTTCGAACGGAGCAAAATACCCAGAGAGGGAGAGAGAGAGAGCGAGGGAGGGAGACTGTAAAGATGGTACCCTATAATCGCATGAACCCTGAAACCCCCAACAGCCTCCCAAACTCCCTAAACCCCTTTCTGAAAGATGGCAAAAGAAGCCAAGGGGCATGTTCTGCATCAGCGGGTCGCCTTCGGGGTGCGAAACCCTTACTGCACCCCCACACAGTACCCAGAGAACCCAATACTAACTATTAGTTAAGGAATATACCTTAAATTATAGGGGCCTTAATATTATGATTTAAGGTATATTCCTTAATGGGTATTGGGCTCTCTGGGTACCAGTCTATAATAAGGCTACCATAACAGGCCAAGTACATCTGTATGATATAGACAGTCCATGATGAGGCTACGATTAAGAGACGGCTTAAGGTTTAGGGCTTAGGGCGACGACGAAGGCGTAGATTAAGCAAGGGCCGTGTATATCGGTACTATAAATAGCTTTTATTTTAGCTGTTAGCGAGTGGGGGCATTAAACAACCTGAGGCAATCTAACAGAAGGCCCTCATTAGTAAGAACAAGACTTCGGGGTATTGTAGTTAGTATGACTATGATAAGGAAACCAAAGGGACAGTATTGTCAAGTGTTGACTAACCATTTCGGTACTCATAATGTTACTAAGCGGCCATCAAGAACACTTATTCACAAGTGTGATCATGGGGGAACTGCCCGGGTCCATTCACCTAGCATGGTCGCTGCAGCCAGCATGCTTAACGGATTCCTTGAGGAATGCCTACACAGAGGCTCGAAAACTACATTCGCAAGCAAACGTATAATGATAATGAGAAGAATAAATACACATATCAATAATTGTAATAACAAGCATAATAAGACGAATGATACTACTACTACTACTACTACTACGACGACTACTACTACTACTACTACTGTCATTATTAGTACTACTACTACTACTACTACTACTACTACTACTATTACTACTACTACTACTACTACTACTACTACTAGGTTTAAACCCCCTGGTTAAGCGCCCTTGTTTCAGCTGTCGGACTCGTCGCAGCAATCCTCGAGGTCCGTGGTTTTGGCTTTCAGCCACCCCTGAGCTCTATCCAGCACTGTGACTGGATCCCCTGTCAAGAAAAGTCTTGAAGAACGCCCCGAAAGACGTGCTCAGTGCCTGGTAGCCTGGGCTTCTCCTCAAGTGAGCTGCAGCCAACCATGATGCAGCTTTGTGTGCCCGAGACGGCAGCTTGCCACCAGCCATCCTTCTCATCATGACCTTGTTCTGTCCTGCAAGTGCTTCAGCTCTGTTGGCTGAAACTCGGAACCTGGCACTTGTCTTGCTGCTGGACTTTCGCTTGGCCAAGTGTGCAGCCAGTTTGGCTCCAACCTCCTTCAGTGGCACTTTGGCAAAGCGACTGAATTGCTTCTTGCTGTGATTCACCAGAAGAGGCTGGCCCTGCAAAGGTTCATCCCTTTTATGGGCCTTCTTGTTAGCTTGAGCACCATCGACATGGTGCACACAAGACTTGAGCTTCTTGTTCAGAGGGGCACTGACCTCATCATAGTGATCAGGCGGTGGAGGGGCACCAGCCTTGACAGTTTTGTCTTTCAAAGGCACCCAAGAAGGTCGTTTTCCCTTGCCAGTCGCTGGGTCCACTGACCTGGAGGCAAAGACCAGCATGCGGCCCACATGCTGCACTTTGTCCGCCTTCTTCTTGCCACGATGAGTCAGATCTGTCTCGACCTTTTCAAGTTCGAAAGTGGCAGCTTTACCCAAGCTATATTCGTTGAAGGCAC